TTGTGTGTCTGATGTTGTGTGTCTGATGTTGTGTGTCTGACGTTGTGTGTCCCAGACCCTACAGGACCTGTTGTGCGTCTCCGACCTGTTGGACTCGTGCTCTCGGGTCGATCTGGGTTCGGACCTCCAGACGTCGAAGCTGCTGCGGAGCTTCATGGAGGCCAAACCTCACTTCAGCGTGAGTCCTCTGGTTCCTCCTGCAGCCTCTTGTGTTTGGCTTCTGGCTTCTGGGTTCAAAGAGCTCCAAGGATCTGGAGACTGACTCCCTCTGTTCTTCTGCAGCAGCTGGACGCTGATGTGCAGCAGCTGGTCAGCAGCTGGGAGGTTCTGAGGGTCCAGAACCAGCTGGAGGTGACGGAGGAGGACGTGAAGGAGCTGCTGAAGCTCCAGCAGATAGTGAAGGACAAGATCCAGCAGAGTGAGTCCATCCTGGAGCTGAGCAGAAGCTTCCAGCTCACAGCGGCACAGGTAGGCCCAAGAACCTCAACTGAAGAAGTAATTAGAGACGTGGATGTTAAAATGGGCTGCAAGGTGGATCGGTGGTTAGCACTGTTGTCTCGCAGCTAGAAGGTCTCTGGTTCACGTCCCGGTGAGGACACCTGGGATCTTCCTGCGTGGAGTCTCCATGTTCTCCCCGTGCAGCGTGGGTTCTCTCCGGGTTCTCCAGCTTCCTCCCACAGTCCAGAAACATGCTGAGGTTAATTGGTGATTGTAAATTGTCCGTAGGTGTGAATGTGAGTGTGCTTGGTTGTCTGTCTCTAAGTGTAGCCCTGTGATAGACTGGTTACCTGTCCAGGTGAACCTGCCTTCACCCTGAGTCAGCTGGGATAGACTCCAGCCCCCCGTGACCCTCGTGAGGATAAAGCGGTGTGTAGAAAATGGATGGATGGATGGATGTTAAAATGGTCAAGTTAGACACTGTGAGGAAGCTCAGAGCGTTTCCTGTCACAACAATAAAACATCTGGACCACAGTTTATGTATTTATGTAACAACGCAGTCCGCTGTGATCACAGCCGCTGGCTGAAATCAATGGAACTAGTACAGAACACGTACGTATGGTTTCGTTGCAGACACGTTGGAACAACGAAACATTAAGAATTTAAAAATTAGGAGGGAATTTATTCAAAATCTAAATAATGAGATAAAATGTCTTAAAATTTAATGAAAAAATTAAATAATGACATTTAAGACAATAAGAATGAATCAGTCACCGAAACCGCTGACAGAAACCGTGAAGTGTCAGTAATTATAATTCGGATATTATAAATTTGAATTAACAATTAATTGGCATTAATCACCATGTTGTTGATTAAAGAGCAGCAGTTGTTCACTGTGTTGACTCTGAGCCATCCAATTGGTGAGCAGCTTATGTATCCATGACAACCAACCTGTGGTGCTGTGTGTGTCCAGCTGGAGGCGCTGATGAACTCTGAAGGCTGCAGCTTGGCTGAGCAGAACCCACGGATCCAGAACCTGATGGAGACCAGCTGGCTTCTGAAGAACCACATCTGCAGCGCCGTCGCCCACACGGTAGGACCACACACTTCCTGTCCTAGTGCTAGTACTGCAATAGTACTGCTAGTACTACTGTATAGCACTGCAGTACCTCTGTACTCCTGTGTTGTACTGCAGTAGCACTGGTACTCCTGTATAGTACTGGAGCAGTAGTAGTACTCCTGTATTGTGCTGCAGTGGTAGTACAAGTACTGCTGTGTGCTTCTGCAGTACCTCTGTGCCTGTTTAGGACTGCAGTAGTACTAGTACTCCTGTAGTAGAACTCCTGTTTAGGACTGCAGTACCTCTGTGCTCCTGCAGGGGGCTCCAGGGTTCCATCTGCAGCAGCTGCAGCTTCGTCTTGTCGATCTCGATTCTCGGTTCGTTTCGTGGAAGAATGAAGCGGCTCAACGTGACGAGAGACGACAGCTGATTGGCCTGCTGCACGATGACATCATCCAGGTGAGCAGGAAGCAGGTGCATCACATCAGCCGGAGTGACATCACAGTCAGGAGGTAGAGCAGTGGAAACCAGGAGAGAAAAGGAGATACTAATGTCTTTAAAACATAGACAAAGATTAAAATAATCAGACATAAAGTTCATCTGAATAAAACATGAAGATAATGCGATTCAAAAAAACCTCAAACACGTCTGAAAGGTTTCAAGCAGGAAGTTCAGTCAACATGAAGTTAATCTCATGAGACAAACTGATAGACGTGTAAATAATGAAGCAAGGTCCATGGAGCAGCTCCTCCGTCTGGACGTTCAGCAGAACGAGTGGAAGTGAAGCAGAGCTGAAATGTTCTCTCATCGTTTGTTTATGAATCAAATGTTGCTGGACTCAGCTGAAGAACTCAGAGTGAATCAGTGAAGAAATGTTTGTGAAGCTGCTCAACAGTCCCAACGTGAAGCCAAAACACCAACACCATGAATAACAGTCACAGATGATTAAAACGAAGGGATTAAACTTCACTCTAAATTATCGGCAGAACGTGTAAATTATTAGATTTTTACTTGATCTAAGTTTGGAGATAAAAGACACATTTTTTAGAAAGCAAAATCTAGCATTTATTCTATGTTTTGTTCTCTTTTGGATCTTTGATTGACTCTCATCTGCTTCTTGTACTTTTGTTTTATCTGGATGATTATTTTAAATCAGCTTCAGATGAAAGCTTTCAGTTTATTTCGATCCTGTGGTCTGTTTCTGCATCAATAGAACAGCATTTAAACGTTGTGAGATAACAGTCAAACTACTGACTTGATACTTAACTATCAGGTAAATACCATTTAAAAAACGTTTTAAACTTTTTTTTTTTTAAAAAGGAAAAGCAGATTTTTGGACTTTAACTGGAAATAATTTTAGAGAAGTGACATGAAACTTTAAAATCTTGACTTAATAAAGTTATTTTTTACATTTTACTGAATGATTCTGACTTCATGTTACTGCTGCAGAAAAAAAGGAATTAACCCAAACTAACCCAAACTAAACGCAATGTAACTCACAATAAACCCAAACTAAACCCAAACTAACCCACGCTAAAACCAAACTAAACCCACATTAAACCCACACCAAACCCAAACTAAACCCAAACTAAACCCAATCTAACCCAAGCTAAAATCAAACTAAACCCACACCAAACCCGCACTAAACCCGCACTAAACCCAAACTAAACCCAAACCAACCCACGCTAAACCCAAACTAAACCCACACTAAACCCACACTAAACCCACACTAACCCATGCTAACCCATGCTAAACCCAAACTAAACCCAAACTAAACCCAAACTAACCCACACTAAACCCACACTAAACCCAAACTAACCCACGCTAAACCCA